TCATAACACCAAGAAATTATAAATTTAGGAAAGCACGATAATATCAGAAGAAGAGAAATTTTCCTACGCATCATGTAGTCTCTAATTCATGATAGTGGTGCTTCACTACCATAACTTAGGAACTACTCTATGTGGCTGATGTGAACTTATTATCCTTGGAATTTAACCTAATTCTCTGATACCACATTTGTCACGACTGGAATCTAGACCTCAGACAAGAACGGCATCATTGACCTCTCAGAGGTTGCAGACAAGCCTACATACGTGGTCATTACTTCATCTAAGTTAATTTTAGCAGAAAATTTGAAGTTTTGTTTACTTAAAATTTATATTAGAAAACATTGATCTCGCATAATACTATCTACGTAAACTCATAAGAGTTCACAACAACCATCTAAATCAAGAAAGATATAGTAATAAATATAAAATTGCCAAAATGCACCAATACAACATCTAAAAGTAAATACGAAAGAAACGCAAGTGGAACATACTCCACTAGATCATGCCTATGTCTACGCTAGAATAAATCAGAAAGCATCCTCGAATGCATGAAGGCTTACCAAATCCGGATGAAAGATCCACGTCCGGATAACTTCTGCGTCGACTCATTAGCTCTAACGTCCAACTGCACCTGCACCTACAAGTAGATAAATGTATGGAATTAGTAGACACTTATACTAAGTATGGGTATATGCAAGCACACACCACGAACATACATGATTTAGAATACCTCTATCCTAACGATATGAGCTATGGAAAGTCAAGTCACTGGACTTGCCAAAATCGAATTAGAAAAGTCATGTCATTAGAGTAACATGCATCATCATACGTATCATATTGCACACAACACATAACATATTGTATATAACACATAACTTATTGCATATAACACATATCATATATCATTTCATTCGTTCATATGCCATGAGACCCTGGAACCATGGACATAACATTAGGACTTCCCGCAATGAGGGCTCAACATATGAGACCTCAACTAGGGCGCCTTCTTTAGCAAACACAGAGTGTGCTTCATTCATTCATACGTACTTCATTTCATTTCATTCATAGGCTAGTGTAAACACCAGCTACACCTAGGATGTAGTTTAGGACTCTCATTAGGTTCACTGTACAATAACTAAGAATGACCTAGTGTCATTACATAAGTCTAGTTCACCTCTTGATTATCCTACCCAAGCACCTTAGGTATCGTTCATTTCATTGTGTGCATTACATGAGGCTAGCCTCATTCTTTATTTGGTTACTTTAACTTTAACCGACATAGATCATGTGAGCATCATGAAATCCAGTGCCTATCCCACATCGAAAAGAGGTGGAATCACTAACCAAAGTGAAACCAAAACATGCTAGCATATATAGGGAATTGAACCCTGCTACATCCCTATGTTGGCTGCATAGGTTCAAAGACAAGGAGATATAAGGAGAACCATACTCTTTTGGACGATAAGTCTCATCTCATGAGAATTACACGAACCTTTGCCTTCCCAAAAGAAGAAATTGCCACTCATAGCTAGCCTACTGGTGCTCAGTATAAAATTCCATTACATTCATCTCATACATCGTAAAAGCTGACTTCTAGCATGAGGACATCATAGCTCATTAGATGATTTCTCATCTCATCATTAGTATTAAGTATATATTAACTTCAATACTTTCATTAGAGTGTTCATGGAGGTTGGTCTCTTCATTAACTTTACACTCTCATAGGTGAGTACGTTTTGATAACATTTACTTAGGCTCATTTGAGATTGCTCTCATATTTCTCATTAGCCTTTTATCATATTGTTACCACATTCATTAGCCTTAGCTTTTTTGCCCATCATAACTACTCACCCCTTTTTACATGAATGTTCATTTCATTATATTCCAATGCACTTGGCCTTTTATTGTGTTTCATACTCTTACTTAACCCTTCTGGGGTCACATCATTCATCACATAACATCTTAGGTTCACTGACTTTATAAACGCATGCTGGACTTACGATTCCACAGACAGAAGCCATGAGGCTTCATTCGTAATTCCTCTAAGTGATTCATACTTACCCAAGCTTATGTGGTACAAGAATTATGCATCTTGTAAGTATGTCAAGATCTCAGTTTCGATCATTAAAGGAAACATTCATTTAATCATTTATTCACGTGCGACTTATGTGTCAATAAAAAATAGGACAAGGGAACCCTATATCAAATCCCTTCTATAACACTTAGTTAATTTCTTCATAATTTTTGTTGACATAAAATTCTTGGCTATGGAACCCGCGATCTATACCCCACACCTACACTTCCTTTCTTTCTGTTTTCTTGATTTTTTGTCTTAAACATTTCGGCCTGGGGGACCCAAGATCAAATCCCCACGCCCACATTCCTTTCTTTTTCTTTCTCTACTTGATTTCTTCGTTTAGACCAAGAGGGTGTGGGATCGATTCCCCACAACCTCACCCTATTTTTATTTATATTTTCTCCTTACTTTCTCATTCAGCCAAGAGGTTGTGGGTTAGATCCCCACATACCTCATTTTATTATTTAATTTTTTTATAACTTGTATATGGTGAGGTCTTGACTTCAATCCTCACTGAGTTCATGCATTATTTTTTAAAAAAAAATTAAAACTAAATTTTTACAGTAAGGTGGCCGAAACCAAATTTACGAAAAGATGGAAATTTGATCACCTTTTTGCAGTCCATTTTTTCACCCTCTTGCACGTTAAACATTAAGACATTTCGAGTAGTTTTTAGGGAGATCCTTAGGTGCATTTTTAAGGTTACTTTCTGTCAAGAATTATCATTCAATTCAGCAACTTTGAACTCATTTGAACATCATGTTTTTAACATATTCGTACACACATAATTTTTAACATTTTAACATGTCAATATCAAGCTTCAAACCATGTCTAACTCACGACACACACATGCTCAGACAAGTTAACAAACTTCACATTTTTGGAACACCTCTTTCATTTCTACATAATTCCGAATAAACATTTAAATCCATAATCACAACCAGCCCTAAAATCATCTATCAGAAGTCATACCAACTCATACTTGAATTTTTCAAAGGATCTAATGACAGGGGCATGCAACGGGGACAACCTTAGTTTTTGATTGTGTATAGACTGAACCTTAGGGGTCTCTTGGGAAAGTCGTTCAAAGATGTTCTTAAGCATTGCCAACCCCCCCCCCTCCACTAAGTCGACGTCTCACCAAAGAAATCACAAGCACAATTCATTGAGAATTTTGTTTTTGCTTTTCGTTTTGAAGGTTATTTTTCTTTTGAGTTTTAGCATTCAAGTTCTTGATGAACTTTATTTTTTTTTCTGTTCTTTTCTTTTACTGAAGAATAATCGTGCAAGTGGGGTAGAAGTAGAGAGAGATGTGAGAATGAGTGGTAGCTTAGGATTAGGAGATTTAGTTTTGGAATTAGTCAAACTAGGACTCCACATAAATTAATAAAATTTGATTTTTTAAGGGCTTGGGTGAAATTACTAATTATGCCCTTACTTAAATCTGCAAATTTATATAAATTGATAATTTAACATTGCTTCCACCAAGGATAGATCCCAGGTGAAGCTTAACTTGCAAAAAAGAGTCAAATACAGCCGACCCTACCCGAAGTGCCCTCCTCTTTAAATTAATTAATTATTTAATTAATTTATTAGGGTAATTACAGTACTACCCCTAGCCTGGAAAAGATCATTTTACCCCTAGACCCTCCAAACCTAAGATTACCCCTTTCAAGTCCAGTAAAAACTCATCCGGGTGAATCTCTTCAATTCGGGTACCCTACATGGTTGTTTCTCACCTTGCCTAGCTCAAATAACTCACCAAGTTGGTTGGTTTGGCTGGTGCATAGGTTCCGAGGTCTGGTTCTACACGCAACAAGCCATGTGAACCCGGTCTAATCCAGACATTCTAGGTACATTTAAGCAGTACTTAGCATAGTCATTTTTTCAGGTTGTTACACTATTAAACTACCCGTTTGACCCCTTTTTTAACCCATAATCTAAATATCCGCCCCATAACCCAATACCCACTCAATTTCTCTAAAAGGAATACAAACTAAAACACCCATATTGCTTCGATAGAAGCCTCTACATACTGTAGCTTCTTCTTCATTATGTTTATCTGAATTCTCATACATCTAGCAACCCATTAGCATCCCATAAACGTCTACCATACCTCGATGAGGAATTAAGGCCTTCACATTGAGCATTTCGAGCATCGTTGTCATTGCGCTTGCAGTTCATCTTGAGAATATTCTCTGTAATATATGCAGATAGGTAAGAATATGTAGTGGACTGAGTTCTCGTCATTGCTTAAACCTACCACTAATATCTGTAAATATAGTTGTGTCAGTCCTCTAGTTTTCTTCATGAAAGCCCATACTATGTAGTTCTTATATATGCCACGACCTTAGAAATCAATATAGTGAATAACTGATATGTGGTCGTAGTTTTAAGCGATTAAATTAAGTTTCTATGTTAGGGTTGCAGCTAATCTACTGTATTGATAAGAGAGCTATTGTGGTGAGATAAATATTCAACACACATTATTGCTTTCCCATTAATTGCTGATTTTAGGAATATACCCATTGTGGTATTCAAGGTATATGTTCTAAAGTAGCAGGAGGTTTGTCTATGTATAATGTTAATGGTGATATTTGACCGTGTTAGGGAACCATCAAGCGTAATATGAGACAATTTGGGTTTTTTAATTTGGATTTAGTTTAGAGGAGATTGAGTGGATATCGGGTAATGGGGCGGATAGTTGGGTTATGGGTTAAAAAAGGGGGTCAAACGGGTAGTTTAATAGGATAAAGACATGTGCAAAAAATTAGGGTTCCATTAGTGAGAGGGGTATATGTGTAGTACATATAATTAGACGACGGAGACTTATATGAACACAAAATATAACGGAGGACATATACGTATTATTTATTAAAGTTCGGCTAAATCCGTCCCTTTTCCTAATTAAAAATGGACAAATGAATGAGGCTATTGACGAATAGCATGGTCTGATAAGAATAGTGACCTAAAAGACGGTCAGAAGAATGGCGACACTTTTCAGATCCAAAGGGTCTCACCTATTTTAGATCTTACCAATTGTTTCCAAATATATAGAGAAATTAGTTGTGGCCATTGTTGCTATACATTTGCCGCTTAAAAGCACAACTCTTGTTTTTTTACAGATCTGTATCAGCTCAGGTAAGTCTCAACTTTTGATTTTCTCTCCTAATATTTTTACTACTAGATTTTCCATTTCTGAATATATACTACTTCGTTCTCTTAATATACAAACTTCAAATTTTCTGTTTCTTGGATATACTGTTTTAACAGATCACGTTTTTGAAATTTTTAGAAACAAATCTGCCATGGCGCCCACCACCATCCGAAAAGCCATTGGGGCTGTGAAGGACCAGACCAGCATAGGGATTGCCAAAGTGGCAAGCAACATGGCACCAGAGCTGGAAGTTGCTATTGTTAAGGCTACTAGCCACGATGATGAACCAGCTGGAGAGAAGTACATAAGGGAGATTCTCCAATTGACTTCATCTTCACGGGGTTATGTCACTGCCTGCATGTCTGCAATTTCCAAAAGGTTGGGCAAAACCCGAGATTGGATTGTTGCCCTCAAGTGTTTGATGCTAATTCACCGACTTCTCAATGATGGAGATGCTGTATTTCAGCAAGAAATTATGTATGCTACCAGGAGGGGAACAAGGCTGCTAAATTTATCAGATTTCAGAGATGAAGCTCACGCCAGTTCATGGGATCATTCTGCTTTTGTAAGGACTTATGCTTTGTATTTGGATCAGAGGTTAGAATTGATGGTTTTTGAGAGGAAGCAAAATGGTGGACAGGTGGAAAGGTATGGATCCAAGGATGAACAATGGAGATTGCCCCAGAGTTCTAACCGTGGATATGGTTATGATCATGGCGACTTTAGAGATGAGCCTGGTTATGGAATGAGGAGGTCCAGATCTTCAGGTGATGTGAGAGAGTCAATACAGGAGAAGAAAGATGTGACTCCAATGAGAGAGATGAAACCTGAAAGGATTTTTGGGAAAATGACTCATTTGCAAAGACTTCTAGATCGATTTTTATCTTGTCGACCAACTGGTTTGGCGAAGAATGAAAGGATGGTCTTGGTTGCTTTGTACCCTGTGGTTAAAGAAAGTTACAAAATTTACACAGATATATGTGATGTTTTGGCTGTTCTGTTGGATAAATTTTTTGATATGGAGTATGAGGATTGTGTCAAGGCCTTTGATGCCTATGCTAGTGCAGCAAAGCAGATAGATGAATTGGTGGGATTCTATAACTGGTGCAAGGATATAGGTGTGTCAAGGTCGTCAGAATACCCAGAAGTGTCGAGGATTACAAGCAAGCTATTAGATACATTGGAGGAGTTTGTGAGAGATAGAGCTAAGGCGATGAAGAGTCCTGAAAGGAAAGTAGATAGCCAGCCAGCTCCACAGGGAGAGGAGCCAACACTGGATATGAATGTAATTAAAGCATTGCCACCACCAGAGGATTATACTGCTCCACCGCCTCCTGAACTAGAGCCTCCTAAGCCTAAGCCTGTTATTCAGGAGACCAGAGATCTGGTGGATTTGAGGGAGGAGGGTGTTACTGCCGATGCTCAGGGGAATAAATTTGCCTTGGCATTATTTGCAGGACCAGGAACAAGTAATGCTAATGGGTCGTGGGAAGCATTCCCATCCAATGGGGAACCTGAGATTACGTCTGCTTGGCAGAATCCAGCAGCTGAGAGTGGCAAGGCTGATTGGGAACTGGCTTTGGTGGAGACAGCAAGTAATTTGTCTAAGCAGAAGGCGGCATTGGGTGGCGGTCTTGATCCACTATTGTTGAATGGCATGTATGATCAGGGTGTTGTTAGGCAACATGTAGCCACTGCACAATCAAGTGGTGGCAGTGCCAGCAGTGTGGCATTGCCAGGAGTAGGGAAAAGTGCTACACCAGTTTTGGCACTTCCTGCACCTGATGGAACAGTCCAGACAGTTGGACAAGACCCCTTTGCCGCATCTTTGAGTGTTCCACCTCCCTCTTATGTGCAAATAGCAGATTTGCAGAAGAAAGAGCAATTGCTAGTGCAGGAACAGATGGTATGGCAGCAGTATGGCAGAGATGGCATGCAAGGTCAAACGAGTTTGGCCAAGATCACTACTGGAGGATACTATGGTCCAGGGCAACCCCCTGTGATGCCTTATGGAATGCCACCAGTAAACGGTGTTGGAATGCCACCTGCGGCAGGGTACTACTACAATCCTTATTGATTTTTCAGCATATAGCTTTTCTTTTTCCTTTTTTATGTTTATGTTGGGTGTTCATTATTTAGCGTTTTACCTGTTCCACTGTATTATTTTATGGCTATATCTTCCATTTGTTCATGTTTAGCGAGTCTAGTGAATGACCAGTGTTGTATTCTCTGATGTTTTTTGTAATATACCGATTTCATAATGTACTTGTTAAGCAATGCTCATTTCTAGAGGGGTGTTGTTTGAATATTGGTTGTGTTGTTAATTACATTCTTTGTTTTTCATAGGCATGTTGTTTGAATTTATTTTTTTCATAAAATATTGTGTTGTGAAACTGATTGGTAGAGAGACTTCATCTCAAGCTGCTCAGACTGAGTGACCAGATTCTAGGTCCGTTTGCCTTGATGATGTGCTGCTTTATACTGAAAGCCCTTTCCTATATAAAAATGAGTTTAAGTGGAATTTCAGAAGTTCTCAAGGCAAATATGAAATAACCATGGTCATATTATATTTGTGTCAGATAATGTGCCTAGGACCTTCTTAACTTTTTCATCGTGGCTGTGACTCTTATTCAATGATGCAGTATTCTTGAACATATTGAGTGAGAAGCTGAAACAATGAAACATATCAGTCTGCTCATATCCAGCTGCGTCTATGATCTGTCTATAATTGATTATATTAGCGTATTGAAATTAAATGTTGCATCGTGTTCACCGTATCGGACGACCCTGGCACCAATGGGATTGGTGGTGAAAACTGTTTTCATACAAAGCCAAGCCAACTCACTCTTCTTTTAAAAGAAGTTGATTGAGTTATTGTCTAAAAGAAGAGTCTAATAGAGTGCAGAGTCTTGTTAGGAATTTATTAAGCTCTCTCGTAGGAGAATACTTCAATACAGAGTTTTAATAGGTTGCCAACAACAATAAAAGCCTTTCCTACAGTAAAGGTGATAGAGCACGTTTGGAGGAGGAAGTCTGATGGTTTTACAAATTGATTGGTAAACTTTGTCAAAACTATCACTACCTGGCTTTGCTACTTGGAATTATCATACATCTCTTTTATCAACTTATATGTATAATGTACATGAAAGGGTTGATATTACTGATTACCTCGTCTCTACTCTGTCTCCTCTTTATCTCAACTGTCAACTCAGGTAAAATGTGCTTAGGCCAGCAATTGTATTTCATCTCTATATTATATTTCAAAACTTTTCAGTGACTTTGAAACACACCAATCTTGGGTATATATGTATGTGATAATCAAGTACTTTACAGAGCAGATGATATAATAGGTGAGAACCGAAGGCGGGGAATGGAGAATAATCAATCCAACCTCCTCAACTTTTGAGTCTGATTCTTGTATCGATTGGATGGCTTTGAATGAGAAGAAAAGAATGGTAATTGTTAAAGAAAATGGAAGGTGGATGAAGATGAGAGTAGAAAATAGTACAGTAGAGTGGATTAGCAAGTAATTTTTGGGTCACTATAAGTTTAGGGAAGAGTTGAAGGGTGATCTACCATATTTATGATTAAGTAGAGAGTCCATGTGACATCCACAATATGTACTTTGAAAGCGTCACACTAAACTATTGGTTCATTTTATTAGTGACCTCAAACTCCATAAGCAACGGTAATACATTGAATATGCAACTCAAGTTGATGCTTGAGCACCCACACAACCTCTAACGTAGGATTTATGTGCGCTTCAACTATTCTTGCTAGTTGTTATCTTTTATAATTACAGGTATTCTGGAAATTCATTCTACATTCCCTCCATTTCATATTAATTGGATTATTGAGGTGTTTCATACCTTAAAAGAAAAAAAAGATAAAGGCATAACTTAGGCTTAACTTTCCATTTTTTTTCCTTATCAAAATAATAAAACATTAATTCGAATACTAACAAAGGATAAAATATTATAAAAATAGTCTTGCAAATTAAACAAATTAAGTTAATTTGAAAAACTAAAAATGTCACAATAATTTAATTAATATGAAATAGAGGGAATAATTAATTGTATTTATTGTATTGTGGTTATGTTCATTAACTTTATTGGTGATTAGGTTGGTGTATGCGTCTTTGGTTTACTAAGTAGTAGGTTGTAGTTATCCTAATATAATCCATAATCAGCCAAATATGTAGTGCTTATTTATTCCATCTCTGTCTCAATTATCAATTATCAATAACAGATATTGGCACTAGCAAGACGTCTGTTTAATATGTCTCACTTTTTGTCATTTCCCATCTTAGTCTTTACAAGGAAATCCATCCTACTTTTATTATATATGCATATACATTTTGAAGGATACACCGAAAATGTTAGTACCAAACAAATTTTTAGGTTACTTGATCAAGTCGTTTATTTTCTAATTTTTATGCATGACAATGACTTCCCATTGAGTATATGCTGATGTCGAATTGCCAAAAAAAAAGCTTAAGTCATTTACAACAACTTATAACTGTCCGCATATTTCACTTGGAAACTTTAACTAAAGTTTTTATCTATTGAACACTTATTTATTTAAAAATCCATTCTCATTAGACACAAAATGCTGACATGACAAAAAGAGTGTGTTCCATACTCCTCGAGCGCATATAACAATTAAAAAATCATATTTTTTTTTCTTTTTTTCAACTTATATACTTATTTTTTTTAAAAAAAAATAATAATAAATGGAAAAGCTTGTCTTCTTCATCACTGTAGCCATTCTCAAATTTCGTCTGCCTCTCTATCCCTAACCTTTTTTATTCTTCTTCTGTTTTTACCTTCAGTTTTTAAAAGTTATTATTATATAGATCTAGAGCTCAAATATTATAGCAAAGCTTTATTTTTTTTAATAAAAACAATATGAATTGATTATTTTTTTAAGCAAAAGTCATTATTCTTTTTTAGAAAATTATGATAGCAAGTGATTAAAAAAAATCAAAAATAGGTAAAAAGCTTTGAAAAGGAAATAGATTTTGATGACGACAAAGAAGAGGGGCAGGGGACGAGGCGTAATGGGGGTGGGTTGATTGAAAATAATTAATTTTTTAAAAAATATTTTTTATCTAATTGTCATGTGTCATAAATCTTATTAGTCTATCTACTATGTGTTTGAGACACACACTTTTATCTATCTGCCAACAAATTTTCATTTTTTATTTAATGAATATAAATTTATTAAGATTAAAATATTTAATACTTACCGACTTAAGTTAAGGTGTCTAAGTAAAATGTAAGAATAACTTTAGGAGTCTGTATATGAAAACAAACAAACAAGGAATGTCTAGAATATACAATTCCGATGTACCATGATAGTATGTAATTGGCTAGATGAATATGTTTCTCTCAACAACATTGAGCATAAAGTCTCACCCTTTTCTTTATTAGCACTTAACCTCTTCGCATTCCAAAAATTCATTTTATCCATTACGGATGGGGATATTAAGACATAAATTAGATAAAAGCTTTTTATTTTTATCCTTACGAATTATTATCAAATATTTTATTAAAATAACTAAATTGCAATTAATAATTAATTCTAATACTAACTAATAAAGGATAAAATTGAACAATTACGTTAATTTAAAAAATAAAAAATCTTTCAACAATTTAATTGATTTGAAATGGAGAGAGTACTAGTATGATTCTTAGATCATTCAGTAAGTATTTTGTTAAGGTGTTTAAACTTGTCAATATATTTCCTAATATATTTCCTCATACAATTTTGATCCACTTTTATTTTCCAAGCATTATGCACAATATCCTTGAAATCATCTTTATCAGTACAAAAATTTAAGAATTTAAAATACCTAATATCCTTATGTCATAAATTTGAACATTTGATTAGTATAGCCTATAGGTGGATGGTTTGAACCTTTTTTAGCAAGGTGTTCTATATCATTTTAGGTTTCAAATTAGTCCACTAGTGATTTATGAACACCCCAGCTAATCATTTTCATATTATGTGGATTATTCCTCTAGCCTTACATGATAAAGCTCAAATATATGTTTTATAAGGTCGTTAGCAATAAATAATCCACCGAAGAGTTAGGCTTGAATCCCACAAGTAATGGTAGAGCTAGATTTCAATCATGAAGTACACTTATGTACTACTCCGTCCATTCCATATCAATTGTATTTTTGAGGTATCTCATATTCTTTAAGAAAGTATATCTAAGACATAAATTAAACATAGTTTTTCATTTTATACTCAACAATTATTGTCAAATTTATTGAAGTCATCAAATTGAAAATTCAAATGAAGGGTAAAATTGAAAAATTATTTTAAAAATAGTTTTGAAGATTGAACAATTCAATTAATTTGAAAAATAAAATATATCTCAAAAATTCAATTAGTATGAAATGGCGGGAGTAATTTTTTATGAACTCTTTAATGAACGTTAATATCAATATAAATTCAAGAGACTTCAAACTATCAATAATGTGAATGATAAACAAATTGTTAACAAGAGCAAAGGACAAACAAATTTCACAACTAAAAAAGGAATCCTAGGAGTATGTGTAATAGAGTATCAATTTCGAGTGTGGGTAGTTGTGCTGCTGATCAACATAGTTGAATCTTAATGCGACAAACATTTATCAATCACAGAGATCGTCTTTCATGAGAGTTTTGTCAAACCTCAACATGTGTAACAGGCAATGCTAACCCAATACCTTAACATAGTTTCCTTTTCAAGAAAAATTAACAATTGAACTTAATCAATGATTATCAATTAACTCAGCCACTTAAAGCACCTTTCACTAGAAAACATAGAGTACGTATTCAGTTTGCAACCTCAAACACATGAAAATTTTTAGCGGCATTAAATATTGTCACTAATAAAGAGTGCTAAAGTCTTTACATAAGTGTCATTAGGACCAATGTCGCTAAAGGCTTTAGTGACATATACAAAGAGTGACAATTGCCGCTAAAAATACATATTTAACGGCAATTAAGAATTAAATGCCGCTAATATCATCTACATAGACAAGAATAATGACTGTACTGTGTGCTGAATGTCGAGTAAACAAACTCGTGTCGTGTACGCAACACGTGAAGCCGAGTTCCTGGAGGAACGTTCTCAGACGTGTGTACCAAGCACGAGGGGCTTGCTTGAGCCCATACATAGACTTCTGGAGTTTGCAAACATGTTGAGGGAAGCGGGGATCAACATAGCCCGGTGGTTGCGTCATGTAGATAGTTTCATCAAGCATGCCATGAAGAAAAGCATTGGAAACATCCAAACTGATTGATGAGCCAATTGTTGCGCACGACGAGTGACAGTACCAGGAGAATG